GTCCACTGGGTGTGTGAAAGCTACATAACGTTCACAGTATGCAAAGCAGGAGTGGCTCGAGTCAGCAAAAATGTCAGTTAGTCCATCAATTCAACTCCCTGCTTGGTGCTTTATGACAGACTATAACACAGAGGGAGATCCCAGCAGTCCAGCCTATCACAACCACTTTCACTCTGTCTGGTAGAGACGATCCTGTACGTGAACGGCTTATTAGTGCATTCTTAGATCTAAAAACATGTCTGACATTCAAAACATATGTTCCTCATTCACACGCTGCTTTGAAGCATACTGTAAAAGCTTCACCAGGAAACCACAAGAGGACAAACCCTAATACATATTTCCTTCTCTTTTTTCTCCTTTAAAAAGGTACACATGTTCAAAACTCCCTTACTTGTTCCTTACAAAGCACGTGAAGCACTATGCTCCATCTGGCTCCGGTCACGTGGAAATCAGCCAAGGAGCAAGCTAAGACAAAAGCCCTGGCAACAGCAGTCACGAAATTTTGTGGGTTTGCCCGCAAGAGAGGTTAATGAAGACAGTGGTAGCATTTCAAAGCAAACTCACTCAAATGACCTCTGAAGTGAGAAGTTCAGGCGAGAAAGGAGGATGAGAGGGCGAGTGAGTGAAAGTCTGTCTGAGTTTCGGTGACTGCAGTACGCGAGGGATCTATTTTTGCTCCGTTAATGTGGCCACAGTTGCAGGATGAAGTTATCTCTGCTTTATTAGAAGCTTTTTGTTCAGAAGGTAAAAGCAAGGAGGGGCTGTATTGATTAATGAACAATACATATATCAAAGCCAACTAATCCAGGCCGTCAAACCTAATCTTTCCTTACTACACTGTGAACAGGCTCCTTATCTCAACGTATTTGTTAGGTCTCCGTTACAAAATCAAACCATAGTAACATGTTCCTAATCACACATTGCCCTGTGGTAGCCTGGTGATAAATGGACTTCTCCTCCCTCATGGTCCAGTAATGTACTCAAACTGCTCCCTGCTAGCGCATGCCTTTCCTTAAATGATCTACAAATGTTCTGTTATGGATTGAGAAGCGAGAACAAAAGTTCCACAGAATGAGGTTACTTTCCACCACATCAGAATTTGCTGAAGTTGCCATTGAATTCATAGAAAGCACACTGCTGACTTAAAATGATTTTTGATACTGGCTTCATCAGAGAAAATCTTCCCCCACCGGTCAGTGTTTGTATGCTTACTGGTTCATAGTATTTTTTACTGTGGAGTAGAAATGCCCGTTCACATAATTTCCCTTCGTCTCTCTGGCACTGTCTCTTAGAGTTATGTTTGTTCTGCCAGTTAGTGGTCAGAGCTGAGCCAGTGATTTCTTGGCTCCTCTAAGTGTCACCATGTAGCCTAATCTCATTCACATACAACTAGCCGGGGTTGACTGGAGGTGGTTTGAGACAGGCCAGAGCCAAGAGATCAGTGACAGGCGGAGTTGATAGTCTTAAAGAGACATTTATTATGGAAATAATGGAAAAGACACTAAATAGATTAGGATTTGTTGCTCCTGGACGACATCCCGACTCTGTCAAGTTCAAGACTCATGGGCAAAGAACATGCCCAAAGCTGTGTGTGCTTGCTTGTGCACTGGAATAATAAGCTCAAATTTCTTACTTCACTGATTTAGCACTCCGGTAACACCATCAGAGTTCTGGTGGAGCACAACCAGAGATATTGTCTTTTTTATTCTACTCGTTGTTGCACGCAACTGTTTACAAAGTATATGTACTGCACATACACAAATACGCATACATCAGCTAAAAGTCATGATCAAATTTGGAACCATCTGCAACTATCAACCACCTGCAACCAGCATTGCAGAGAAAAAATGACCGAACAATTGGTTCCAGTAGTCCATTCAACTTTTAAAACGCAGTCCGCTGACTCTGTTAGATAAGGCTTAGTCACCATGAAGCTGTGTCCAAACACAGTCAGAAATAATAATTCAATGTGATGGTGTTTATCCCAAAGCAGATTAACATCTGGAGATTAGCACAGATCACGACAATATAACACTATTAATTTCTTGATAATAGTTTCAATAATCTTGTATTTGGATTCAGGTTGTAAATTAATATTATTTTTTGTTCTTTTAGATGCTCTACTATGTCTATCACACCAGTGGTGGAAAGTAACATTTACTTAAGCACTGTTAGCTGTTTCACCAAAGAGTGATTTCTCTTTTAAACTATGGTGGTTTCCATTTATAAATGAGGCCCAAAGAGGTAATATGATCCAATATTTCACAAAGAAAATCTAAGCTTCCTACCATATTGATGATCTCACAACCCCTTAGATTTATCTCAACCTTTTGGAGAGCCAGGTTGTGAACGGCCACGCTAAATTACCAAACTGAATTTAAAGTACCCTAGTAAAAACTAGCTCATGTACTGTAAAATGCTGCTTATGAATTGCTGCATCCCTATTAACAATCCAATAATGTAATTCATAATAATTTATTAGTCACAGGGGGCATTTTTCTGAAGTACAGGTACTTTTACTTTTGATATTTAAATTGAATGTAGTTGTTCTGGTACTTTTATTTAAGTAAAGGATATGAGTACTACTTCCACCACTGTCTGGCAGTGAGACTGTGTCTATAGCCTGGAGGACAAAAAGAGGGCAGATCAATGTCTAGATAAAACTACCTCATGACATCCACACAGGCAAACATATGGAAACACTTCAACCATTGTGTGTGTGTGTGTGTGTGTGTGTGTGTGTGTGTGTCTGTGTGTGTGAGAGAGAGAGAGAGAGAGAGAGAGAGCACGTTAAGCATGTGAAAACAGGATTCTAACATAAGTGTCCTTAAAGCGGTCCAATTGTGTTGGGTCTGTTTGGTCATGCACCTCTGCAGTACAATGAATTATACACAGAATTCTCAGCAGCAGCCCTTTACTTGAGTGTCTTTCATATCCCCTCAGTATAGCGGAGAATCTATTTTCCAATGCAGTAGCACTTCAGGCCCTGCTCTGATTGATTGTCTGTTAAAATGCAAGTGTCTGAGAGACAGTCTACCAGGAAGCCTTACAGCGTGACTCTCATACAGCCTACAGAGAGGCAAGAAGCTCATTCACTACGCAGGATAAATCAAGCTAATTATAGGGATGTGTTACTTGAAATCTGGCAAAGCTGGCCAAATCTCGGCACCCACATGCACCCTCAACACAGTGCATGCCTCTATTTGGAAAGTGGGGCCCGACAGTCCTGATGGAGACATCTCCAACACACAAGTCTCACCATCACACACACATGCTATCAAAGTTATCAAAGTTCTCAGTTATAAGAGCAATGAAGCGAGATTCGTGAGTAAATTTGCACTTCTGCACACCTCCGCAGATTGTCTGAAAGAGTGGAAAATTAGAGTGGAGGTGGGAGTAGGGAAGGTGATGTGACCAGAACAATAGTCTACAATTCAATCAAGATAAGAGCAGCAATGATTAGTTGATAATTGATGGAAAGAAAATGAATCGGCAACTATTTTGATAATCGTCAAACGAAAATGACAAGTATTTTGATAGTTTCAAGTTATCAAATGTGAGATTTTTTTTTTGAGAATTGTTCTCAGTCTTTCATTGTAGTAGTATTTGTATATTTTGGGGGTTTGGATTGTAGTTCAGACAAAACAAGATTTGTTGATGTCACCTTGTGCTCTAAGATATTGGATTGGACATTGTTCACTCACTCTAAAAATCACTAGGTCAATATTACACAGTATAGCACCAGCACAATAGTTACCTTTACAGTACAAATTTGTTATTTTGATACAATACAACAAGCTAAAGTTTTACCTTAAAACTGTCATGACATAGATTAGTTGATTAGCTCTAAAAATATCATTGTGTGGGTTGGGAGATAAAAAGGATACACATATGATCAACAATGAGCCAAACTAGTGTGTTTTACAGACCAAATGATTAATTGGGAAAATGAGTGGCAGTTTAATTGATAATGAAAATAATCGTTTGTTGCAGCTCTAATGAAAACAACTCAATGCATCACACCCTTCCCTGCAAGGAAGTGATTATGCAAAGAGGAAGGGACTAGTTTGACATCAGTCAAAGTGAGAGCCACACCAGCTTTTTACTGGTTCAAACCACAATACACAAACTTCAGATGGATGACTTCCTGAATGGACCACACAGGGAGCAGGGCAGGTTAGGGGCATCAAAGCGCGCTCAGTAAAGGAGACGCACAGTCAGTGTCCTCCTGTTGGAGCCGCTCGCAGGAGGCCATATGTCAGAAACCTCCAGGAGGTTCGCCAAAGACCAGTTGCACCACGCTGAGAAGTCATATTAGCTGCACACTATGTAGTCTATCTGTCACCAAGACTCCCTGCCTTCATGTGTCTGTCGCCCCACGATGTGTGTGAACTCACAGGTGTCCAGCTGCGCCTCGGTGGTTTAAAACTACAGCAGGTGACTTGATCCTTTAGCTTTTTCTTTTTTGGTGGAATTAAAACCTGCATTTTTTCATCAGTCTCTGGCGCATGATTGGACAACAGTGGGACACTGAGGTTGTTGGACTACCCAATCATCACCTGAATTTGGCTATAAAATGACGACTGACGGCGTCCTGCCACTAAGCAGCTTTGTCAACATTACAGAGTCAGGTGCAGACGAAAATGTATCCATGCGTAACGCTTCTCCCCGTTTAGGATGTGAACGCACGGTGTTAAGATACAAAAACGGTCATATGAACAAAAGACATCAGGGTGTGTTTTTAGCCAGAGAGGCGGTTATAGGACTACACTCTTTTTGGAAACAGAATATGTTTGGGGGGCATCCCTCTGCTCCTTATCAATGCGCACACACGCAGCAGATCCAGGCTAAATCACCAATTCACAAGGTTAAAGACACACATTAGAAACTCGTTGTGTGGCCTTGTGTAAAGTGCCACTATTATGTAGGATACCACAATTTATGTGGGATCGTCTGGCCATTTTAAACGCTCTCCTGTCCAACACTTAAACGAGACCTACCTGGTAATCTCGAAGCTGCAACCTTTACGAAGGAGCAAGGCTCGCTTCCGCATGATGCCTTTGTCTCTGCCGAGGTACACATGTTTATCTGAATTCATGGGTGCTGGGAGAGCAGGAAGACTCGGGGAAACAGCAGCGCCTTCTTTCCAAGGAAAAAAAAGTCAGAAATCGAGCCGCGGACTGCGAGAGGCGGAAGGAGAAAGAGAGCACGGGCTTTCCGAAAAAGAAGAGGAGGAAAAAAATCCTTGGAAGCCCGGTCAACCTCAGCTAAACAAGGAAAGTGGTCTTGTAGACTTTATTTCCCCTCTCAGGCTAGACAGAAGACGGTGTGTTGAAGCTTTCAGAGGTGCATGGTGTCGGGGTTGGTGGCATCTCCATTCGGGCGTATTGGAGCAGACTGTAGCAGGGCTGCTGCAGTTATCAACCTGAGTGGACTGGGCTGAGGAGTCTCCGTGCCTCCAGAGATCCTGTGAACCTGAACTATGGAGACCACAGCGCTCCTTCAGCTTCAGTCCGGCGCTGAGTGGCTTCCGATTAAGAGAGAGAGACAGTCAGAGAGAGAGAGAGAGAGTGAGAGAAGTGTTAGTACACAACAGCAAGTGTGTGTGTATGATCAAGCCTACAAGTCTACAGTGTTGTTATTTAATAGCCAGAATTAAAGAGAACAACATCCATCACATAGGATGTGGATATAGTGGCCTATGACTTGCTTGGTAGCAACATCAGCTGTATTTGGAGGGATTGAGAAAACTTGGTCTTCAACCCTTGAATCTTTTTAATCTTAACATCATTATTGGATGAGAGCAATAAAGAAATCAATAAATGGATACATTAGAAAAATATATAACAAAGTATGATTTGATGATACAGTGCTGATTTGATGAGACAGTACTATGTTTGTTGGGCAGTGGATGTGGATTTTCTCCCCCGTCACTTACACTGAAAGCGCATTAGGAAGAGATCTCCATAGTCTGTATGAGTAGGAAGAAGGATTACAGCAAGTGCAAACTGTTTTGATGTTCATAGGCACCAGAGTGCTGTTTTTAGTTAGACTTGAAAGTTGTGAACCTATCATTTAGCCCCAAACTTCCAAGTAAGTATTATAATTTAAAGGCAACACAGAAAAGAGAAACACCACATTTTAGTTTAGTGGTAAAACTGAAAAATGTCAAAATTACATCTGAAAAACAAGGAAATTTCATTTTGGTTTTATTCTGTTAATCACTACCTTTAATTTCATTGTGCAGCCTTGTTTTGTACAATAACAAATAAATATACCATGACCTATTTCTAACTCGCCCTGGGCATCTAGGCATATTTAGACCTTAAATACTCAATATATGTGGATGGAGACCCAACAAGTGTGTTCTCTTTGACATACCCAGATCCAGAGGGAGAGACAGCTCACTCAGATTGCATTAGGTACAGTTAAGGGAAATGTTTCTTATTAATGACACAGGTGGCTGTTAACTGATCTGCACTCACACTCTGCTGGCGTGAGCAAATAGTGATGTGACATACACAAGACTGAACTCTGAAATGAACGCAGAATCCTTATTTAAAAAAACATTACTATCTTTGTTCTTATTTTATTTGGACCATTGGCTCCATCATACTGAGTAGCTTCCCATTTGCAAATCTCCCCATCAGCCACCGCCACGAAGCAACCAATCCCACACACACCACACAGTCGGCCATCTTAGCTTAGGTTACACTTAGCTAGTTGGCTGCCCCTGCCTCGCATTGCTCTTGGCTAGTAAAAAATAATCATTAGTTATACACAGGGGTTAAATTGGGCTGGGGCTGCCCGGGGCTCAGCACAAACACATAGGTCTACGAGGGGCTGGAGAATCAGATTAAGTGCAGCAGAACTTGAGACGATCACTGCCCACGGCCACTTCTGACTATCAAACGCCTAAGCGGTGTGATCACCCCAGGATGAAAGGGAAGAGAGACAGAAAAAGAGCTAAAGTAACCCAGCTTGGACCTAAGAGAGAAAGCCAGATATGTCGTTGGCCCACTTTGATTATGCACTGTAGTATTTTGATAGTGATAATGTTTGCGAGCAAGCAAGCTAAGGTTAGCCAGCTAGTTGCAATCCAGTCATGCTGCATGGATCTGGCTCTGGTCACCCTACAACACCAGCCAGCAAAGCAACTTGCAAACAGCAAGCCAGCCAGATCATCACCGGCCTTGCAGTTATGTTAGCTTTGATTTTGGATTCTGTGTTGTGGTGGGTGCTGGTCGTTTGTTGACGTTAACAGACTCTATTTCAATGCTAATTTTTCAATTCAATTCAATTCAATTTTATTTATATAGCACCAAATCACAACAGTTATCTCACAGCGCTTTTCATAAAAGGTCTAGACCATACTCTGTGATGTTATTTACAGAAGCCCAACAATTCCCACCAAGAGCAAGCACTAGGCGACAGAGGCAAGGAAAAACTTCCTTTTAAGAGGCAGAAACCTCGAGCAGAACCATGGCTCAGGGTGGGCGGCCATCTGCCTCGACCGGTTGGGGTGAAGGAGAGAGAGAGAGAGAGAGAGAGAGGAAAGAGGGAGGGAGGGACAGAGAGGAAGAGAGAGAGAGAGAGAGGGGGGAGGGAGGCAGCCTACACAATATACACGCAGAGGTACAGACAGTAAAGGTGATGTTGCTATAGACTAAATGAAAAATGGTACAGATTTATAGTAGTGTTAATGATAATAATCATAATGTTAATGATTATAATAACAATAATAACAATAGGACTAGTAACAATAGTTGTAGCAGAGGGTGTTGAGCAGGAATATGGGGGCAGCAGGTGTCTCGCAACCACAGATCCAGACTCCACAGCTCCAGAGCCAGAAACACCTGCAGGAAGTGATAGGAGAGAGGAGAGAGACGAGAAAGCACAAGACTACAGAAAACGGGAGGAGTTGAGTTAGTAACATGCAATAATGGGATGAGGTTGCATACAGAGGGAGAGAAAGTAGAGGAGAGAGGAGCTCAGTGCATCATAGGAAATCCCCCGGCAGTCTAGGCCTATAGCAGCATAACTAAGGGATGGTTCAGGACTCACCTGAGCCAGCCCTAACTATAAGCTTTATCAAAGAGGAAAGTCTTAAGCCTACTCTTAAATGTGGAGATGGTGTCTTCCTCCTGAACCCAAACTGGAACCTGGTTCCACAGGAGAGGAGCTTGATAGCTGAACGCTCTGGCTCCTAGTCTTCTTTTGGAGACTCTAGGAACCACAAGTAACCCTGCATTCTGGGAGCGCAGTGCTCTGGTGGGGTAGTAAGGTACTATGAGCTCTTTAAGATAAGATGGTGCCTGACCATTAAGAGCTTTGTAGGTAAGAAGAATGATTTTAAATTCTATTCTGGATTATACTGGAAGCCAATGAAGAGAAGCTAAGACAGGAGAAATATGATATCTTTTCCTGGTTCCTGTCAGAACACGTGCTGCAGGATTCTGGATCAGCTGAAGAGTCTTAATGGACTTTTTCGAGCAGCCTGATAATAGGGTATTGCAGTAATCCAGCCTAGAAGTAACAAATGCATGGACTAGTTTTTCTGCATCATTTTTAGACAGGATGTTCCTGATTTTCGCAAGGGCCCTTGAAATTTGCTTAATGTGAGACTTAAACAACATGTCCTGATCAAAGATAACTCCAAGATTCCTCACAGTGGTGCTGGAGGCCAGGGCGATGCCATCAAGGGAAACTATATCTTTAGATAATGCGTCACGGAGGTGCTTGGGCCCCAGAACTATAACTTCAGTTTTATCTGAGTTTAACATTAGAAAATTACAGGTCATCCAGGTTTTAACATCCTGAAGGCACATTTGAAGTTTAGCTAACTGATGATTTTCATCTGGCTTGATCGATAGATATAACTGAGTATCATCTGCATAACAATGAAAGTTTATGGAATATTTCCTGATAATATTGCCTAAAGGAAGCATATATAAAGTGAAGAGGATTGGTCTGAGGACAGATCCTTGAGGAACTCCATGAGTAACTTTGGCGTGCATGGAGGACTCATTGTTAACATGTACAAACTGAAATCGATCTGATAAATAGGACTTAAACCAGCTTAGAACAGTTCCTTTAATGCCAATGAAATGTTCCAGTCTCTGCAATAGGATCTGATGGTCAATGGTATTGAGTGCAGCACTAAGATCTAATAAAACCAGTTCAGAGACAATTCCTTTTTCTGATGCAATGAGGAGGTCGTTAGGAATTTTCACCAGTGTTGTCTCTGTGCTATGATGAACTCTAAATCCTGACAGAAGAGAAGGAAATCAGTCCACAGCCTGTTATAGGCAAACTAGATAGTCAGGGAAGGTCTAATTTTTTAAGTTACATTACAATCCATTCAGACATTGGCAAGACAAAGCAACAAATACATGTAAATTGTTTCACATTCTTACATATGGCACCTTTAATATTTCACAACTGAAAATGTGCAATGTTTACTCTGCTAAAACAATGCTCAACTGCAAATGCACCCAGCTGGGGGGGGGGCATAGATTAGTTGATTAGCTCTAAAAATATCATTGTGTGGGTTGGGAGGTTGCATCCTGTGCTTCATTAAGGTTGGACATCGACGGGTGATTCATGGGGCACAGAGACTGGGCAGCATGGGTCAGTTCACATGAAGTCTAGTCAGTCTGCACAGAGATAATTCTTGCCAAATTTTTGCTAAATGATGTAATTATTTACAGTGTTCAATATCTGACAACAGATAAATAAGAAAGCCACGTGACCAAAAAACATTATGGAAACATACCATAGGTGTAAGCAGATACATCAGTTGGTCTTCTGCTGTATGTCTTAGAAAGTAGCAGTGAGTGTTTGCTGTAGTATTAAACCACACCATACAACGGTAACCATGTTTCAGTGTGTTTACTTCTTTACTAAATCCATTGCATTGTTTATCTGTGACCTACCAAAAGAATGGCAGAAGGAAAGAAGAGTTATAAAGTCAGAGAACTGATTCAGATCAGTTACACAGAAAAATTAAAAGTTTGCTAACAATAGCCACCATAAGATACTGGTCATACGTGACCAAGTTAGGCTGCCGCTGCAAAACGTAGTGTATTTAATTCAGCAGAGGTGTGTTTTATTGCTTCTGAATTCAACGTTTCATCTGTAGTAGGAATTATTTCTTCTTTCACAAATTACACTTTGTCACTTTTGTCACTGTCAAAATCTTGTTGTCACTTTAAAAGGTTAGAATTAATCTGAAAAAGTGGCAATACAGCCACCATGGGTTGTTGGTTGTAGGTTTCACCTTTTCCATCCAGCAGAAGAGAAAGTAAGATGATTACTCCCACACACACACACACACACACACACACACACACACACACACACACAGTCTAGTATGTCAGCCCGCTGTTTAGATGAGGAATTCTCTCAACATGACTCACAGCTGCATTCAAAGAAAGACCCAGCCATGTTTGTGATAGGAAAGACATTTGAGTTTTGTTGCTCAAACCTCCTGACTCACTGTGATTCAACGGTACTGCCCCTT